TCTTTTAAAAATATAAAAATGATATAAACTTACACTTTTAAAATCGTACAGATACCAATAAATGTAAATGTAAACTGCCCAGCAGATGTTACCCATCTGGTAAACCCTAATTCTTGCAAAACACACACGCACGCACACACACACACACACACACACACACACACACACACACACACACACACACACACACACACACACACACACACACACACACACACACACACACTTAGATAAAAGGCCTGATAACCTATTCAAATCAGTAAATATTTTCATAACACCAATTTTCCCATGACCTTTGAAATGTGTTATTCTGAAGTTAGTAAAACCACTATAACAGATACCGGTTGAACAGCTGACCCCTCATTTCGATAAAACAAAAACAATGTTATGCAACTGATCTGAAACTGTGTTCTGACTAAACTTTAACTGGCTCCCTTTAAATAAATCACTTTCCCCAAATTGTGCATGTATCACATTCTATACCTACAATATACACTACCTAGTTTCTTAAAATGATTATTTTTGAATAATGTTATGCATTTCCTTACATTTTGTACAATGTTCTGTTTAGCTTTAGGGATGTTCAGATCCAATCATGTGATTGGAAATTGTGCGGTTTCAGACTCGGATGTTACCTCCCGGTCGAGACTCAAATTAAATAATAATATATAATATTTCTAACTTATAATATATAATAATAATATAATAATTCTTAATATATAATAATTCTTGACTTCAACTGTATGTGTGTGTGTGTGTGTGTGTGTGTGTGTGTGTGTGTGTGTGTGTGTATATATATATATATATATATATATATATATATACATACATACATATATGTACATATTTGTACATATATATATATATATATATATATATATATATATATATATATATACAGAGTTAGACCTTTTTTCTTGACTTGACTGAAACAGCAATGTGTGCGGCATGACATCACTGTGTTGCAGAGACACTTTTGGCTAGATGCAGCAAAGTAGAACATGGAAGCAGCTTGAAGCAGAAAATGCGAGTATGGCTTTGGTCTTGAGGCATTATAAAATTGATGATGACAACATTGCCATTGCCAACATTGTGAGATATGTAAACTTGGCATTACAAGAGGTGGAAAGGAAAAGGCTACATTTAACACAAAACCAGATAAGATACATCAAAAAGAAACAAAGAACCTTGAATTGAAATGCTGTCTCCCCACTATTTCAGAGAAAAATCTTTGCCAGCCCTTTATAAGAAGATTTCTGACAAACTGGGCCTGTTATAAGATGTACCCCATGTTTCATTCACTACAGACATATGGAGTTTGTCTACTAAGCCTGTATGTATTATAGAAATATCGGATCGGGTTTCATTATCGATAGATAAACACAATCAAATGACTCGGACCCAACAAGTTAGCTTGTAAAAGGGATGGTGCATGCTAAAACATTAAAATTGACTATTTATTCACTGCTAAGCGGTTGTATGCTACAATACTACCCTAATACTCATGGCGGGCGAAAAAAAAAAAAGTTTCCTACATTTTTAAATTGTCTTTTTTCTTTCAGAAAGAAACTAATAAATGTTGAATGTAGTATTGCTTTTCTTGATCAGAATGTAGTATTGTATCCCTCAGAATTCAATGTGCAAAAACACAAATTTGCATGTCTCCTATGCTTCCTGTTGTCATTCCTTGTTGCCAAAGAACATTATGCAACAGATACAGTGAAGCAAAACCTGTTCACAATGAAGCTACAATTGATACCAGTGAAGTCATTTGTATATTAGTCATAGATCTGTACACTAGTTGGAGATGATTATTTGATACTCAAACATAGTCTAGTCAACCATATTCACAAAGAGTTTTATGATGCTTTTCTATGTGGAGACGAGAATGGACTGATTAGTGGAAGAAAAGTAAAACGCACTGCTGCTGTTCAGGTAAGCAATCACGGTTTCTATTATGGCTTGTAAGTAAACCCTATCAGTTTAATAACTTAGACCCTCTTGGTTGCCTGACAATCATGTTTATCTTATTGTGACGAAGACTGGTAACCACATGCTTATGATGCACAAAATGTATGGGCAGATTATAGATAATTGCTTAAATTTCCACCTGAAATCAAAATAAAAGGTTTTTAGGTGTTAATATTAAAATGTTATTGTATCTAAGAATGGCCAACTTTACAGCAGAAAAAAGGGTGTTTACATGCTGGTACAAGAAAAGATTTTGGTCCATACAGCTAATATTAACCTTCATGACAACTCGGGGGTGAATTTTTCTCATCAGTTTCCTTTATATTTAGGTAATGTTAAGTTTGCATAATTAAGGGCGTGGCCACTTGATTGACAGCTAGGTCTCGCTGGTCGCCATCACTTTACCTCAGCTGACTCCAGCAGATTAGCCACTGATTTCGGCATATTCATCCCATTTTTGTTTTGTTTTATGTGGCTTTACACAGTCAGTTGCCTTTTGGGATTATTTCCTACAATTATCAGATGATTTGGGATGCTGTGTGCACTTAATTGTGCTCACAAACCATTCCCATGGCCTCTGTTTCCCATGTGAGTAAAGTTATATACTTGTAAAACATCTCTATAAATGTATTTGTTTTATTTAAGATCATTTATCATTTTTAATGTTCTTTAGAACTGTAATGCACTCTAGAATCTGACAGATTGATTAGTTGTAGGCTCTAGATCAGTCATCTGAAGTGTTGTCATACAGTGTTATGCTGGATTTCATCAATAGTCCTGCATTTACTAACACAGACTATATCTGAAGTGTTTGAAAGTAATTTGTGTTTTCCTCCTGTTGGAAAACGTCATAAGAACAATACTTAGTGGCTCAATGTATTACTACAGTATTTTTAAAAGTCTAAACACTTTATTGATATAGTGTACAGCCAAGCACATGTGGTCAGAAAACAAACAAGTCGCAGGTGATAAAGTATTAAGCGTTTTCCCAAAGTAAATTGTGTCTAAGCCAGGTCCAAGCAAAATGCCAGCAGGTGTCTGTAGCTCCGCTCACTCTCCGCCTCTTTGCCCTTGTTTTGTATCCCACCGTGGGTGCGATGACGCACAAACAAAATGGCGACAGTTTGCCGCGCCTACTCATGGCTTCTTTTGCGCTCTTCAGGAATCTATGGGTGACGTCACGGACACTACGTCCAAATATTTTACAGTCTATGTATCTAAGTTGCTATAAACTAGTGTTCTCCAAAACAGTGACAAAATTTGTCTTGAGAAAATATAAGCATTTAAAACATGACATCACCGCACATTTCAGCTTCTCTCTGACTAATCAAATGACCAATACTGTCTTAAGGGTCTGCGGACTATAAGACATGACTGTAATTGGTTATAAATGCACATGAGCATTCATAGAGAAGTCACCTAAACACATGTACAATTAACATGGAAAAAAGGCAAGCGCCTCTTCATGTTTAATAACCATTAATGAGGTTCACATTTTTAATGTTTTATAATAATATTTTTAATGTTTAATAATGTGGGACCAAAAAACGGGGGAACCCATGGGTAAAGTCAGTATTTATATTTAATAGAGATATTCTTATCTGAATATAAACAAAATGTTTTAAATAACACAATTGAAAACAAAACAGGAGTTTGCTATCGTTTATTTTAAGAGTCCATGTGTCAGAATACTAACTTTATTAAAACCCCAAAATTTTAGCATTTACAATATTACTGCAGACCATTTGGGAAAGTGATTTTGATTTTGTGTTAATCTATGAAATAAAAAGTAATGATTTCTATTTAAACGTGTTTGCACATTACTAAACCCAGACACATCCTGAAGATGCTATATACATTTCTGGAGAATGGCAAATACGTCCCAGGAGCTATGTTTTTGTTTTCGTGAATCCACCAGCCGCTGTACACGCTTTTTTAGATCTCAAATTTCTCTCGCGATAGCCAATTACACCTGCTGTTCTCATGTAAATCCACAAGAGGCTGTTGTCGACTGACTGACAGCCCGATTGACTGACCCACCCTCCTCCTTCCTCACAGCAATGGGTGTTCGCATGGGTTTTCCCCAGGTACTCTTGTTTCCCCCACAGTCTAAAGACATGCGCTATAGGTGAATTCAATAAACTAAATTGGCCGTAGTGTATGAGTGTGAATGAGTGTGTATTATGTTTCCCAGTACTGGGTTGCAGCTGGAAAGGCATCCGCTGTGTAAAACATGTGCCGGATAAGTTGGCAGTTCATTCTGCTGTGGCGACCCCTGATGAATAAAGGGACTAAGCTGAAAGAAAACGGATGTACTCATTCTTGAGGTGCAGCTGATCACAGAGAGTTGGAACAGATCTTTTTAATCCCAGTTTCTTTGCAAGTCTTGCCTTGTGGACATGATTATACAGGTTACTATGGAGACATGTTAATATGCACTTGTCAATTAATTCAGTGGGCCGGGGAAAACACACTCCTAAGTCAAATTGAGGTGGGCCTCAAAGTTGCAGGGATTTGGACCCTATTTTAAGATCAGGAAATTATAAAAAAGAGACATGTTGTGTTTATTTCACTTCAATATGACTGTGGGCACACTACACCTACACACAGTTCTGTCCAAACAGCTTCAAAAGTTGATTTTGCATCAAAGATGCCCTTTAAAGTAGAGAAACAGTTAGACAGACTCAGCATTGCTAATATGGACTGGGAATGTCATCAGGTCAAATGTGATTTAGCTCACCAGCTCTGCTCTATTGGCCATTCATTTAAAGCACATATTAAAGATGAGCTTCATGATATATTCCACCCAGTCTTTATATTGTATATTTTATATATCTTAATATTATATATTTTAAGGCACTTCAGGGGACGTTTGAATGTATGAAAGTTGCTGTAAACATGTAGCAGAATAACTGAGAAAGCACCTTTTAAAGATTACCTGTCTTGCTTGTAGGATGACAAACAATACAACTTTTTCCTTCCTATCCAACTCTAAAATCTCAATCCACTATGAGAAAACCACAGTGGATATGGTCTTCTACACCATCGTCATTCTCCTCGGCACCACCGGGAACTCTGTGGTCATCTGGGTGGCTGGTTTCCACATGAAATCCAACGTCACTAAAGTATGGTTGGTCAACCTCGCAGTAGCAGATTTGATTTTCTGCTTGACACGAATTTCTTCACTCATCTCTAAAGTCTTCTTTGATTACTGGCCTTTTGGAGTCTTTCTCTGCAAGTTCAATGGTTTCATTAAATATGCCAACATGTTCTGCAGTGTTTTTCTTCTGGCTGTCATCAGTGTGGATCGAGCGCTTTGCATATGGCATCCATTTTTCACCAGGGAACGACGGACAGTATGTGCTGCTCGTGTGGTCAGTGTGGGAGTTTGGATCGTGGCTGTGATCTTTAGTTCTCCATACTTTGTTTACCGGCAGGTCTTTCCTGGCAAGAACAACTTAAGCCACTGCTCACTGAAGGTCAGAATGGCATTAAGAATCACTGTATGTTCACCTTGTATGAAAATGATATATGTATTTATAATTTATTTGATTTTACTTGCAGGTGAATGGGTCATCCGAGACTGGCATTTCAACAAAGTATGTCTACTACTTCATTCGTTTCATCTGTGGATTCCTGTTGCCCTTTCTGATCATCTTTATCTGCTACACACTGGCTGCTATTGGGATCCGCAGATCAAGGCTCTCCAGAAAAGCAAAGCCTCTTCGCATTCTTGCTGTTTTGGTCTGTGCCTTTTTCCTATGCTGGGCTCCATATCACTTTCTAGGGCTGGTCAAATTGGTGAATAAAGACAATGAGGTGGTAAAAATAGGATGGAATATGGCTTCAAACTTAGCCTATTTCAACAGCTGCATTAACCCAATATTGTACTTCTTCATGGGACTGGATGTTAGTCGACGATGCAACCAAAGTTTGTCTGGGATTTTTCGCAGAGCACTTATGGAGGAAGGCCAAAGTCTATCCCAGCAAGGTATTGGGGAAGATATCAGCAATTCATTTCTAAAGACCATAGGTGTTGAGTGTGAAACTAAAGTTTAGGAGTTTTTACTCTCTTTTTCTTGTTAATTTATCAGATCATGCAAACTGTAAACGTGTCTTACTATGTATTTCTTACAAAACAGGTCTTGGATATTACCTGAAAAAACAGTATATGTTAAGTCTCAACTCAAAAATACCTCATATATATATAAAATAATGCTTTTTTGGTGTTCTTTTTTAAAATGTAAATAAGCTACTGCTCACAGCCTTTCTAGAACTGGAATGTGCCTTAAGGCTGATTTATACTTCTGCGTCAAACACCGGCGTATGCTACGGCGCTGACGCATAGCCCTTCGCCGTGGCCGTCGCCGTCACTGACGTGCACCTCTCAAAAAATGTAACTACACGTCGCAACAACGCGTAGCGCAAGCTCTGTGATTGGTCGGCTTGGTAGCGCTGACGAGTCGGGGCGGGACCGAGACCCGGGCGAATGGTGCACACCCAATGTAGCGATTGTTTACAAGTGTGGAGTCCCGTGAAGGAGCTCCGGATGGAAAGTTTTGTTTTGTGTTTACCTCATAGTTAAGTTGCTGCACATCCGCCGGTTCCTGCCTCAAAATGAGCGAGTTTGAGCCACTTGTACATCCCGGAAGTGTTCAGGAAAAGCAAAAAAGCAGCGAAGAAACTCGACACAGAGGAACATTTACACCTCACTGCCAACTAGCGTTTCGTAAGTGTTAATGCAAACCAACAGAGACAGCGCGCAGAAGTATAAATGCACAGCCACACAGCCGTGGGTTACGCCGGTCACTTGACGCAGAAGTATAAATCAGGCTTTATACCTCAATGGTTCTGTTGAAAGATGGCTTTAAATACTTTTCTCTTATAAATTCAAAATGACCCCCTCCCCTCAACTTCATATGTAGCACCACACTAATGATTCACTGAGTGTCTTAAATAGGTCAAAGAGTGTTTGTGCTGGTGCAAGTTCACAAGTTCCCCTTCAGATTGGGAACTTCGACGTGTCTAGGAGAGACACTAATGGGAGTGCATAGAACGGCCAATCACTCTGAAGAGTAAGAAATCGGGTCAATTAATGCCTTTGAGATGGCAGAGCACAGTTTCGAAGTATATAACAAACCTTTGCAAAAGTGTGCTTAGACTTTCGCATCCGACAGCCTCAATGCGACTGAAGAGAGATTCAATGAAAACAAACTTGACTGCTGCATGTGTGTAGGATAGGGTTGGGCATCTAAGCTATAATGCCGATCCGATACGCATCTCGATACTAAGAATACGATCCGATATATTAGCGATACATTTGTGACATATTGCGATGCAACACGATACGATTCACACCCATATCACGATACGATGCGATATTTCAGCACTAACTAATTAGATCAAGTTTATGAGATGATGTGAAAGAGGATGCTGTGCCATTGAATGAGTTTGATTATTTATTAACCAAGCAAAACCAAGACTTTTTTTTACAAACTGGCTTTTCTCTCAGAGCCAGTGTCAGTTTACAGTAGAGGGCCATTTTAGAACATATAGCACATATTATTTAAGTATTTTCAAGATAAACAGAATGTATAAGTGCAATATATATTAAAAAAATATGTATATATTTGCACTCTTTCAACATAAATAAAATTAGCATTGCACAACAAGAATTGTGATTTAAATTTTCAACTATGAAAACAAGTTTTACAAAGATATATTTTGCCACTGATTATTCAAAACTTAAGGTGGTGAACTAGCAGTGTTATGCTGCGTTGAAACATCACTGTCACTGTAAACAACAGGCTAATAAAAATATAACAAACCAGCAATCTTCTTGCTGTGAGGTGGTCAAACTACCCACTGTGCCACTGTGACACCCAATTATTTTTATCATTATTATTATTAATATTATTATTATAATTAAATAAAAATTAACAGGAGGAGGTGTTTAAAACCTTCGTTCTCCGTGACACTAGGCTGAATATCTTTGCAGATGAACAATGCAATAGCATTCGTTATTGGCGTAGAGCGAGCAGAACTGTTGCGCATGGAAAAAAAAACTTTCAATGCTTTTCTCACCACTTTTGGAGCTGGTTGAAGCAGTGCGAAAGCCGGGGATGCAGAAACACTGGAAGATGCTTTCACAACAACACCGTGGCGCCGCTTCAAGTGAGATATCAGATTAGTCATACTGCCCGCGTATTTTACAGATGCGCGGCACATTTTGCAAATTGCATCTGTCCTGTCATGTCGTCCATCCTTAAATCCATATTGTTGCTTGCCATACTTTAGATTTAAAACTCAGTGGGGAATAAAATGTTTGTTTTGCTTCTCGCGCTTTCTGAGGGCGCTCCACTAGCTTCATCCGCACACCTGATACACTGAGTTGTAGTGTGTGCACATCCGCAAATCCGTTGCTAAGGCTTACTTTATGTAGGTCGATTAAATTATGCGCCAAAAACAGGTTGACAACACTTGTTAATAAATAAAAAATACATTCTATATTAAAAATATAAGCTGTATCTCGGAAAAATCAATGCATCTCGCAAAAACCGATGCATCTCGATTTGCTTCCAAAATTTCATTCATCCTCTGCTGCTCAACCGATGCACTCGCATCGTGAACGCGCATAACCGCGTATCGATACATATCGGTTAATCTTCCCATCCCTAGTGTAGGAACAGCTGACGGTGGCCATAGCAAGGACAAACGACAGTGGATCGCGAGCTCACAAACGCATTTACATCTGTAAACAAAGCGGCACACGTCATGTTTTTACCATGGTTTTAGATGCAATATGAGAATATAAAAAGTTAACCTGATACAGTAGTCGTTACAAAACACAATTAAATACACATTTTGCGAGCTAGAGAAAACATGGAGGCAATCAATTTAATCACATCGAACTGTGTACTGAAAACGTTCCTGTCAAGCTCTGACAAAGTCTCATACATCAATAGTCTTTTCTGATCCTTCCTTTAACAAACAGCTGACAAATCCCCCACTGTAAGCGTGTAGATTGCTGAAGCACTCTTTAGAAAAATGATGTCACGCCGACACGGCTCAAGATTTGTTACTTTGTTTGAACCACTCTGAGTCGACTCCTTAATAGATGAATCAATAGTTTTAAACACGGCACACTTTCAGATTTAAGCCTTAGCTGGATATTTAATTTCACTTAGAGCTGTGTAACAGATTGCATGGAAGGTCATTTTCAAAAACCCATAATAGGGGCTCTTTAATTCTCTGCACAGTTGTGCAATCAATTGTTAATTGATGAAGGGGAGTGGATAGTTCCTTCTTAAGTCATCAACACCTCTTCTACACAATGAAAGACACAACGTTTGTTTGCACACAACACCACTCAGTTGTGCCACTTCCTTTCTGTCAGATGTTTCTTTATGGCCGCTGATAAGGCCTGCAACAGTTGTATCACCTGAAAACTTGGAGATGTGGTTGGAGCTGAAGATTGCAGTGCATGAGCCAGCAAAATAAAGAGCTGCATGTTGACCACACAGCCTTGCAGGGTGTAAAGTTGTTGGGGACTTCTAGCTAAAGAGTCCAGGGAGGTTTTTTTAGAGCTTTCGTGAGACTGTTGGTTTGAAAGCTAGACGCTGAAATCTATAAACAGTCTTTGTGCTACAGAATGAGGTGAGAATGGAGGACATGTGCTTTTCCATGTAGCAGTTTGGATGGTGTGCAAACTAGAATGGGTCAAGTGTTTAAAGACCTACTCCACACGTGTTATCACACAACAGCCATACCCATGCCACATTTAAATTACACTTAGCCCCATATAATATTAAAAAAGGATAAGTGTAACACAAGCACAATATTACTGAGTGGACTCCTGTCTGAATTGTCCATGTAGACAGTTTGTTAAGATTTCCGTGGTCACTCTTGATGATGAAAACTGCATCAAAAGAGACAGTTTGCAGACTGTAGATGAACATTGATGCCAGTAAACATCCCAATTTGGGAAAAGTCATTTGCGAGTGGGATATCGGTGATTTGCAGGAACACAAATTTTGTTACGGGATTTGGACGGGGGCCTCAACGAATCTCAAAGGGGGGAAAGGCGGGAGTTTGCGTGACATATTTGAAGATGGAGAGGGGATAGGGGGTGGATGGAAGGGGTTGTGTGACATATTTGAAGAGCGGAGGTACAAAAGTGTTTCTCTAAAAAATTGTAGGTACTAATATATACTTTTATGGTAAAAATATGTACCCTTTAAGGACAAATGTGTAACTTTTTAAAAGGTACCAACCCAGTGACAGCTTGCATACCTTTATTTTTGAGAGTGCAGGGAGGGATGCATTGGAGAGGGGTGCCCGATGTATTTGAAGACAGGGGAGGAGACGCAAAATTTTCATGAGATTATAATTCGTTTGCGGCCATTCGGGAGTCCCTATGCATATGCGGGAGAATCCCAGAATTTCCAGGAGACCTGGAATGTCTGAGTATACTCTTAATGTCACCATGAAATGGAAGTTGGGATTGTTCTTTTTTCGTGACGTACATCCACTTAAAACAGTTCTTAAATGTGAACAAAACTAGGGCAGTGAAATGGATTGTTAGCAAGTTATTGTGTAACAATGGTTTCCTCTGTAGACAATATATATATATATATATATATATATATATATATATATATATATATATATATATATATATATATATATAAATAAGATTTTTTTTATTTTTTAAAAACCATTTTAAGGTGAATATTAGCTTATTAAAGCATATATTAGCTTGTTTAATATATATATATATATATATATATATATATATATATATATATATATATATATATATATATATAATTTATATAATATAATATATCTTTTTCTTTTTTAAATATTTCCAAAATGATGTTTAACTACTTTTATTCAAGCTAAAATAAAGCAAATAAGACTTCATTCAGAAGAAAAAATATTATCAGACATACTGTGAAAGTTTCCTTGCTCTGTTAAATATAATTTGGGAAATATTTAAAAGAAAGAAAAAACTCAAAGGCGGTTTAATAATTCTGACTTCTGTATCTATGAAAATGTCTTCTAATGCTGTATTTTGCAGGTCTGGCGAAGGGTGGAGAATGTCAATGTTAAAAAGTCCACATAAAACTTACTTTGTCATCATGTAAACATGAACTGAAATCTTACAACAAAGAAAAGACAAAAATAAAGGTCATATTTCTCAACTTGCTCACTCACTTCCACAAACACTGCCTATTTCTGTCCTTTATATCTTGGAACAAGTGAACCCTACAAAGTATCATTTGCAAATATTAGTCATTGTTCTATCTTGAACTAGGAAACAAATATGTTCACATAGAGACACATATACAGCACTTACTACATGGTGTATCACACTTGTACAAGCTTGCGCTTATAAACTCCTAATTTAAATAAAAGCACAAAGCAGCATTGTGAAGTAAACACTGTTCTGAAACAGAATGGCCACAAGAGGGCCAACTTTAAAAACATTCATGTCACTCAATTGTTTTTCATTGTGAATTCTTGCATGTATTCTCATTTTAAGTGGTCACATTACATTCGGTTCAGCTTGACACTCAAGTTTTTCTAAACAAATGAGATAGTTGAATACCTTTAGAACCTAAATTAAGATAAGTGATTTGGTTACCTCCATTTGTTTGAATGATTGTTTTAGTTTTGGTTTCCATTAAGTCTGGATTAACTTTTGCTGTATGTTTAACATATTATGTTGCGTTTGAATACAACTGTCTATCACCTCTAATGTATGCCTTTTATTAAATATAGAATTTAGTTGTGAGGTTGGAACTGCTATGCTCAAACTTGGCAGATGTGTCTAGTTCTGCTCCCTTAGTAAGACCATGTTCTTACTAATGGAGGGTCTGTTGAGGCAAGCTAGAAGTAAATTATGCAGAACAGTGGACCTCCAGGACCAAATATGGAAACTCCTGTTTCATGAGATCTTAGGTTGACTTCAAATTATCATGTTAACTAGAAGCTAATGCTCATAACCACTACATCAGAATAATTAATATTTTGAGTACCACACTAAAGTCCTTCTTCAGATGGCTGTCCCTCCTGTGATGGAAATTGGCATCGTATTAATCTCAAAACTCATCTTGCTAAAATCACCACTTCTAGTTCTACATTAGGAAGCATAGTCCACTCTAAAATCTTTGCCCACAATCATAATCACAGGGGTCATGCCTGAAATATATCCGCTCTGACATAACAGAGGTCTCTCCTGAATGTGCCTGTACTAAAAAGGCTACAGAGGCAATCTTTGATCCCTCTGTTGTTTCTGATAAAACTACAGTATCTATGTTAACCTTCTGCCTATGATAGCCATGATGGTCATCCTCTGTTTCAGCTCCATTAGCTCTGCCTTGGTGACCTTCAACTCCATCAGCACTCCCCTGGTTGTCTCCAGTTCTGTCATAGTATCCTGTGCTCTTCCTGTGTTCTCTATCACAGCCCTGGTCCCTTGCTCTGCTCTGGCCTCCAGTTCCTCCGGCCCTGCCATAGATTCATGTGATTTACAACTCAATCATGGTTCAGCTCCAGTGGCCCCACATTGGTGGTCTTCTGAATCTTCCTGAACTGGTAGCTTGAATTTGCTTTCACAATCCCTGGCCCACAATTCTCCTCCTTCTCCTCATGAAGGCCAATTTATACTTTTGAGCTGAGTGTGTTCCAGAGGTCAGGCGTAACATTTGCATAGTTGCATACTCTTCACAATACCCTGACACACACCTCTCAAAAAATTTAACTACTCGTCATGGCAATGCAAAGAGCAAGAGTTGTGATTGGTCAGCATGGTAGCGGTGACGAGTGTGGGCGAAGTTAGGCTGAAGACACAAGTGTTGAACAATTGTCGAGTCCTGCAGAGGAGCTCCAGATTATTTAGTGTTTACTTTATGAATAAATTTGTTTGCAAGTTTGCCAGTTACCACCTCCTTTTTTCCTTAAATGAGTGTGATTTTAAGCTAGTGCTACTGTAGCATCATGCCATAGATATATACATTAGATGTCGCCTGGCCTATTGTTGTCTATTGGACGGAATGCGTCAATAGCGCTGCCATCTTGCTACAGGGTAGCGCTCCTTTGAAATGAATGACCAAGGTACAGTGGAGGACTGTGGCCATCCATAGCCAGAGATATACACATATACACATACATCTATGATCGGGAGTTTTTCTGGATGTTAGTATGTAATTTTTTTTTTATAATTACAAAATTTATAATTTTACATCACTTTTCTACATTGAAGGATCAGTGACCGCACGTGCATTCCTGACAAAAAGCGTGTGTTTGTGTGTACAGAAATGTACTATCCACCCTCCCTGTTAAATTTGATCTAATCATGTCCTGAAACACACCTCCTCTCCTGCTTTCACTTCTCATACTGACGGAGGGAGCGATTTGTTTGTGAATGAATCCCCCGAACGACTCTTTCACTAACGTTAGCTGACAATAATACAAGTTTCTGGCAGCGCAGCATCTCGTTGTCATATTTCTTTTGCATTGTTTGCTGATTTTATTCAACAAAACTAGCATAAGCCGAGTGTTTAGTGCGAGTTGGAGCTGCTTTGCCTTATGGTGAATGCAGACTGTTATCATCAATAACGTTACCTGATTAGCACAAAAGTTCAGAACATACAAAAACTGAAAAAAACGTAATATTACCTATGAAATGTTCTGCCTGTGTGCTTTGTTTTCTTTGTTTGCTCGTTACTACACCCGTAGACAGCGCTAAAGTCCCGTATCTTCACGTAATAACACTGTCTTGACTAGTGCGGTTGAATGACATTTGTCCTGGGAGCACTGTACCAATGTGGCGGCGCTATTGACGCATGCTCAGGGTCCCTATGCGATATCTAGTGTATATATCTACGGCATCATGCAACACCAGTGAAAAAACACAGTGGAACATAGAAACCCCACTGCCCACTAGTGTTTCAGAAGTGTTATTGCAGAACAATACAGACAGTATCCAAAAGTATAAATGCTCACAACAACATTGGCAAGGTGCAAGGGATGTGCCCTTAGGTAAGGTAATTAAATGACACAGTTTTTAATGTCATCTTTGCTGATTTCCATGTAGTTGTTTTTGACAATGGAACACTACAACAACATATTTAAATGTATTTAAAATTTGGAACAAAACCATCATAAGTAAATGATGGCAGAATTTTCAATTTGAGGTAAACCAACCTCTGCATACTTTGTACTGAATTCTGCTATTAAAAATATAAGCTAACCAAATCCATGGGTTTGCTAAATGCCCACATTTTTCCACAGCTCAAAGTTTTAAGTGTAGTACTGAATATATTATCTGTAGTCGGCAATCAAGCTCTGAGTAAAATTTGATGTGCTTGTAGAAAAAGATCTGCACACCCCTCCCTCTTCCTGTTGTCTTCCCATGTTGCCAAAGAGTAAACTTTAGAATGACAGGGCAAAAGATGCAGTGAAAAAAAGACCTGTTCAAAGTGACATCAAAGCAGCTGCAAGTGACTCCAGAAAAGAAGCTTGAATATTTTTCTAAACACTAGCGATACAAGGAATATTTAATACTCAAAGATAGTTTACGCTAACAATGTTTAGAAGGATTATGTAATGCTGTTAATCCTGAGACCAGTTTGGGCTGATTAGAGAAAAAAAAAAAAAAAACTGACAGATGCTGTCCAGGTAAGATCATGCTATTAATTCCCAGATTTATTTCACCTTTTTATTTTACCTCACAATTGAGTTTTACAATATACGATTATGGACAATCTTAAACCTATTTTAATATATATAACATCAATAATATATTCAAAAAATGTGTAAAATTCTAAATGTATAGCTGAAATCAATGTCCCTATTATGATATCCAAGTATAGGCTATCAGTTCAATCACCTAGAACCTCTTGGTTGCCAGACAACTGCAATAATGTTTATCGTACTGTGTGATGAAGCTCGTGAGACTAGCATGGTAACCACACGCTTATGATGTACAGAACATGTGGGCAGATCAAAGTTAAGTGCTTAAGTGTACGAAAGTTGCTGTTAACCAACAGAGAAAAATCTGAGAAAGCACATTTTAAGGATTCATCTTTCTTGCTTGCAGAATGACCGACAATACGACTCTTTCTCCTCCCTCCAACTCTAAAATCTCAACCGACTTTGAGAAAACGACAGTGGATATGGTCTTTTACGCTATCATCGTTCTCCTCGGCACCACCGGGAACTCTGTGGTCATCTGGGTGGCTGGTTTCTGCATGAAACCCAACGTCACCAATGTTTGGTTGGTCAACCTTGCAGTAGCAGATCTGATCTTCAGCATGACAAGAATCATTTCACTCATCAAAAATCTTTTCTTTGATTACTGGCCTTTTGGAATTTTTCTCTGCAAGTTCAATGGTTTCTTCAAGTACGCCAACATGTTCTGCAGTGTTTTTCTTCTGGCTGTCATTAGTGTGGATCGAGTGCTCTGCGTCTGGCGTCCGGTGTTCACCAGGAAACGACGGACAGTATGTGCTGCTCGTGTGGTCAGTGTGGGAGTTTGGATCGTGGCTGTGATCTTTAGTTCTCCATACTTTGTTTACCGGGAGGTCTTTGTGCGTTCGAACAACTTGAGTCATTGCTCACTGGGGGTCAGAATGGCTTTAAAACTTACTGCATATATTACAGTATATTGAGGTTAGTAAAAATGTATTTCTAATTTTATTTATAACTTCACTTGCAGGGTAAAGATGGTGCTGAGGGTGGCAATTTGCCAAAGTACGTCTACTACTTTGTTCGTTTCATCTGTGGATTCCTGTTGCCCTTTCTGGTCATCTTTATCTGCTACACACTGGCTGCTATTGGGATCCGCAGAACGAGATTCTCCGGCAAATCAAGACCTCTTCGCATTCTTGCTGTTTTGGTCTGTGCCTTTTTCCTATGCTGGGCTCCATATCACTTTCTAGGGCTGGTCAAATTGGTGAATAAAGACAATGAGGTGGTAAAAATAGGATGGAATATGGCTTCAAACTTAGCCTATTTCAACAGCTGCATTAACCCAATCTTGTACTTCTTCATGGGACTGGATGTTAGTCGACGATGCAACCAAAGTTTGTCTGGGATTTTTCATAGAGCACTTATGGAGGAAGGCCAAAGTCTATCCCAGCAAGGAACTGAAGAAAGCTGTAATTCTTTTCCAAAGACTGCAGGTGATGAGTGTGTCGCTAAAATTTAGGCGTTTTCACTCATTTTCCTTTATTTTCAGGGTGCGAATTACAGGGGGGTTTGGGGAGGATTGACGCCCTTAATTATTGCTTGATCCCCCCTGAAGGACATCAAAACAAGATGTATGGGGGGTCAGCCCTGAAATAGTAAGAAATAACTTTCTCCAATCTCTGATTTTTATCTGAAATATTAATAATTATAAATAGAAATATACATTTGACCCCCTAGAACTGAAACAGTTCTAGAGCACTGATAGACATCTTAAGTGTTCACAAAACATGTTTATTGTAAAATAGGTGTTTTTCAGTAACCTCTTAAATAGTCACTAATACCCTCAAAACACTGAAAATGTATACATTTTATTAATAAACGACATGTAATTTAAATACATTCAAACATTTATTTCACTGAAGCATGTAGCCTTTTAATTGCCTACTACCGAAAAAGTCGAGCCCCCTGATTGTCCATGTATAATTCGCACCCTGCTTATTTTGTCAGAAAAATGTAGGATTAATTTGTCGGGACAATGCAAAATACTATTAAATATTAATATCTTGAAAATAAAAGCATTTTTTGAAAGTAGGAAAGTGTAAATTAATTGTGGGTTTATCTGAATTCTGTTTTTATTTCTTCTTTTTTTCTTGGAATGTTTTTTAACACTGGAATAAATGTGAAAAAAAAACTCCTCATGCATTTTCTTTTTATAATTATCAGTAAAAAAGATGACACCATGTTTTTTTCAACTGATATTTTTTTGTTAAGATGAATCAGGAAACCATAAGACATTGCAGATCAAACTGAAATAAATCAACTTCACCGGTTGTTGAATAAACACTGTGAATAATCATGTAAACAAAAGATCCTCTGAGAAATGTAATTTAGCAATTCTAGCGTTGTGGATGTGACATTTGCAGTAAAAACTGAAATTATAATAAAAACAATTATATTGAAACATCTGTTTATATTGTCCGAAACAACTAACCACAGAAATATCAATCTCTAAACATGTTTTATACTTTATAAACACTATACTACTACTACTATAAAAAAAAAAACTTTCAACTTCTATATTTTGGTGAAAACTTTTTTTTCATGACAAGGTTCACATTTTGCATGGAATTGCTCAAATAACATTACGTTGGTAAGAAGAACGCTTTGTGCAATTTTGTCTGATCTGAAAATATTACTCGATGTAATAGTATCTCACCACTAGATGTCAGCACAATGAAGCATTTTAAAAACATATTTAAAGTCTCTAAGTCTTTCATTAACAGGTGCTTAAAACATGTTTTAAAAGCCAAAAGTTAAAACCTAAAAGTTAGTTAACTGGGCCAATACTCGTTGTGGAAACACAAATTACAAGTTAGTGCCCATACACTGTGCTTAATCTTGAGTTATTATATGATACAGCTAGCTAGTCAAATCTAGCAAGCCACGAACAGTGGCAAATGATGAAATGTTACATTACACATCGTTAAAGAGTTTAAATGTAAATACCAAATTGTGATGAAAACCTGCAACAATTGAAGAGAAGTATCATTCTTACCTTTGAAGACAAAAAGTCCATTAAAGAAAACGTCATTGCAGTCAACAGGTATAAGCAACGCGCTTTATGTAAATAGATCGTTTGTTGCCTTCGAATGCACTGAAACCAATGACTGGACGTGTTAAGACCTTAAGAATTTTTATTTGTGTGCAAATGTACTACATGGTTTCAGTGCCTTCGAAGGCAACAAACGATCTATTTACATAAATAGATCAATTCCAAATTTAGCAATTCCATGCAAAATGTCAACTTTGTCATGAAAAAAAGAAAAATATATATATATCATTATTATTATTATATATATATAAGAGCTCCTAAAAATTTTGGTTAAGTTATGTTTCATTATTTATTATTAAGGCATCTTCCTATGCTATTATTTGGTTTGATTTTTGAAAAACACTGCTTTGTACACTTGAGAAACCCACAATAAGTATCCTAATTACCAATTACCAGCTTTAGTATTTATATTTCTTTCATAGTGGTAACTTAGTCAGGATAACAAAACTAAATTGAAATTATTTGTATTAATATCTAGAAGTAATAATAATAACTATAAAAAGTGTACCAAGCTCTTCTGATATGGGAAAGAGTAAATTTAATCATTATTATTATTATTATTATTATTATTATTATTATTATTTTTTATTATTATTATTATTATTATTATTATTATTATTATTATTATTATTATTTCTGAAATATTTACCATTTGCAATAAATAGTAATTTACAAGTTTGTGTTGTACATTGTGCTTAATCCTGGGTTAACGAATGAATGAGTTAAATATGAATGAATTATCCATCATGATAATAACGAAATCTTACAAGTATATTTTTACTCCCCTTACTTCTCTACAGCAGGGACGATTATTAGAAATACAATTTAAAATTTAATAGAAATACAATTAAAAGTGTTTGTTTAATATGGGCTGTATTGCACTGTATTACATAGACAGGCATAACCATTTGAGTTCTGAATAAGCCAAATAAGCTCAACCCACCTGCTTACTGTAGTAAAAAACACTTTCTATATTCGAGTGCATTTTTTTTGTTTCCATGTATTAAATAAATAAACTGCCACTTTAATTTAATTAATTATATATATATATATATATATATATATATATATATATATATATGACGTCAGCTGCAGATGTGAATGAATGGCGGAAGTAAGTAGTTCCTAATAGAAAAAGACGTTTTAGACTCTCCATGTTTGATTTTCTTATTTTTATACAGGATTGTGATGTTGAACTGTTGTATAAACACAATATCACAGTAGTTTGATAGAAAAAGGCCTAGCAAAGCCCATGCCAACAGTCTAATACTATTCAATACATTTGTAAAATGGAGAGGGTTTTATTATCATCAGTCGGCCATATTGGATGCACACAATGCCTCTGAACTAGACAAAACTTGCATATTTTTCTGATTTTTGCTACTAAAAAGGATCTGTTATAATCATGTTTTAAACTACAATCAGACCATTTTATAGTAATAAACTGCCAAAAAAAAAAATGTTTGAGGAAAAAAGTTTGTGGATGGCCAATCTGAACCAAGATTTCAAGTACGTTAAATCAAGTAGGTGAAATATTAGGATAATTAAATAATTACAATATAATATAACTTAATTTATACATATCTTTTACATTTCAGCTTGTCAAATTATTGCATATTCCCACTTACTACAGTAAATCCTTCTATGTTTTAGCCACATCTACATGTGCCATACCAACCTTTATGTGTAAATAAAACATTTTACAACAACATTTTACTTATATATAGAATATATAGAAACTTGTTTGCATTCACACACTTTGTGCTTTCGGTTTGTAACAGGTTTTACTATATAACTCTCTGAGTTATAGGCTTGTTTTTTTAGCAGTTACAACCTGCCGTGTGTTTCAGAGGCTAGAGTAAATTCATTTTTGCTGAACGTCGCATAATCAGCACACACCATGCACTTATTCGGAAAAGTGTTAACAGTTAACCCTCAGGCAAGCCAGTGTTTGTTTTCAGTTTCTTTGCACTTGAATATTTCCCAGAGAGGGGTTGCGGCTGGAAGGGCATCCGCTGCATAAAAACGAGCTGGATAAGTTAGTGGTTCATTCCACTGTGGCGACCTCAGATTAATAAAGGAACTAAGCCGAAAAGAAAATGGATGAATGAATGCACTTGAATATATTCTTTTATTGATAAATTTATTATCCACATTTATATTGTAAAAAATTGTTACTCTGTAGCCGTAATAACATCAATGTACAGTCTGTTCTACACTTTGCCTGTAATAATGATGTTGATGTCAATTCTCTAACTTGATGTCAAAATGACATCAAATTGACGTCTAACACTGATTCACAAGATTCTTTCTGAGTTCATGTTGTTGTTTCATCTTGTGTCTTTGTGTAAGCTAAGTACCACATTAGAGTGTAGTTTAAATACATGAATAATGAATGTGTCAAAAACCACACACCTCACTTACTACTTTGTTTGTGTTAACGTTAACAAGTGTTTATATATTTATGCGTGCGTCTCCTCCCACTTCCCTGCTTTCTTCTATTTATCTGTTGAAGACATATTCTGTTTGAATGGACAGATCAATTACACTGAAAGGGAGAAGAGAGTAACTGCAAGTGATGTCAGTGAAACTAATTACTAATTTATTCTCCAGCAAATCGCAAAAAATGATATTTTAATAGTCATACACAGTTCATCTTGACTTATTTACAGAGGATTTTTCTATATTGTTTCCCTCAAGATTGATGATTTGGGCTGATTTGTGAAAGGTAAGGACATCAGCATTTAATAGCTTGATATATATGTTTTTACCTTTACTGTGAATAACTCTTAAAATAATATTAAGTGTAATAGTACTCAATAGAGTAAATTTGGTCAAATTTCCTATTTTAATAGAGCTAGTGTGTCTGTTTTGGTTTTTAAAAACAACTTTGAGATAATGTGATTCATGAAAATCTATGTTTGTATATGTACTATTTTTATGTCTAAAAATGACTTTATTTGTACAGTACACTGTAAAAGATGACAATTTAATGGTAGAAACTAAAAATGCTACAATAAAAATCCATAACCAGGTGAACAGTAAATTTCCTTAATCCAGTGGTTCTCAAACTTTTTTCACCAAGTACCAAATGTTCACTGGACCTTATAAATATAGGCTATATGTCATCATATTCATATATAACATCTTTTTGATAAATTTTGAAATATATGTTGCATGTATTTGTGTATCTTTGAAATCTAAACATTAACTTATATTTTAAATATATGATTTGGATTTACATATTTAAATTAGAAATAAGATCTGCTTACTGTGGATTAGAGTAAGCTTTGTGTGTCAGAAAAGCAAATAATTTAACCATACCTGTAAATATTGGGATATAAAAATACAGGATACGTCCCGTTATCGTTAGAAATGTGGGGAGAAGATGGCTCAAATGATAGAATACATAACAAACATAAGAAAATGAAAAATAAAATAAAAGGTTTAGCCTATTAAAATCAATTACTGATTACATCTGTGTTACTGTATGCATCAAAGGCTTAAAAATGTGTGATTTTTTTTTACTTTATTCAGCGATTGCTCTGCGAATCAATCAAAAGAAGCCTGCGTACCACTAGTGGTAAGCGTACTACATGAGAACCCCTGCCTTAATCTATACAGTAAATAACTGTTTATTGACTTTCCCAGAATTCACTGCAATACAGGTGTATAATTTTTGTGGACACTATTTGATTCTTTTTAGTTTTCGCCATCAGTGAGCTACATTAGAGTTTTACATTACATCTAATGTTGATAAATAATGCGTATTCCATTGATTTACCATGAATGTTTAGTAAGTTGTGTAAATGACACTGCTTGTAAGAAAAGTTCTTTGTGATTAACATTTGTTTATTATATGATTTTCTCTTCACCATATATTTATGGTTGTCACCACGTGGTGTAAAGTAACAAATTACAAAAAATCTAACTACTGTAAATTGAGTAGTTTTTGAGTAGGAATTTTAATTTACTAGTTTTAAAAATGTGTATGTTTACTTTACCTTGAGTTCATTTTAGTGCAGGATTGGTACTTTTACTCTTCTACTTTCCTTCAACCTTCAGTCACTACTTTAGTTTTTCTTGTCTAGTACAAAAATCAGTCCTGTGATTCCTGACCAATCATATCGCACATAGAAGGTAACTCTCCTCATAATGAACTACCTGAAGACATGGGCGCCATATAAATGCAGCAAACTGTTTTAAAAAGTGTTAAAAGTGTCCAAGAAGATGTCCAAAATCTTTACACATTGACCCAGAGCAGCAGGCACAAGACGTCAACATGACACCAGA